ATTTTCTCGTGCGACTGTCAAATTTTCATCCGTGTTTTCTTTCGTTAAATAATGTTTTCAGATGATAAAGTTAAAATTTTGTTATGAAAAAATTTATTTACTAACGAAATTATTTTCGTCAAATAAATAAAAAGCATATGTATTTCACATTCTTTTCTTTCGTAAAATTATAAAAGTGTTTGATTAAGTAATAGTTTGTATTTTACACGAAATTAAAAAATCGTTACAAATTTTTTGTTTTCGTAGTTAGGTATGGATTATTTTCAGTGTGGAAGCAGGGCATGAGCACTGTATTTGTTTAAGTGTAAATTCATTAGTAAATTGAAAAATTAAACATCCAGATGCGTGCAATATGCTGCTTTTTGCTGCGCTCAAGGCGAATTTACATAAGGTGGTGTTATTCAATCAGATGATTATATTTTTCTTTACTTAACTGGAACGCACTGATGTCACAGTTTGTTATTGTTTACATTTTTATATTTAAAAATATCCATTAAAACAGAGAAAAATAATAGAAAAATATATATATATATTTTTATTAAATGTTAACAAATTGAACAATATTGTTTTATATTTTAATATTTACACTGTGTAGATAACATGATTAACTAATAAAATTCTATTCCGGAACGTTTTATATAACAAAACCAATATCAGGTATTTACCCGGCCGGCGGCAGCTGACTTCTATGTACGTTATAGCAAAATTTCGAAAATTACTAATCCGGAATACGATTTTTCATTTACAACAAACATTATTCCATGCAGGATAAATTTTATTCACAAATTTTAAAATGTTTATGTTTTTTTTTTATAAAATATGTATAATAAAAATTTCACAAAAAAATTAAATTAAATCAGTGCGTACCAAATGCAAAAACAAAATACATGGAAGACGTTGTTGTTTCCGAACTGCTACCACCTTATGTGAATTCGCCTTGTGAATTTGCCTTGTCTGCACTCTTAATGCTTGATTTTATGTCTGCGTTCATTCAGTATTTCAAAATTCAACGATTTTCAACGCCATTGTAAAGTCGACATTACTCACTTTATTTGTATTGTTAATCGTCATGGCAGCAAGCTCCAAGGCTAAAACAATATCTGATTTTTTTTTCTTTTAATGGTTTATGGGAAAACCGCAAGCACCGTGCTTAAAACACCGAAAGTATTTTTAAAGTTACTCACTTGATTCGTAGTTGGCACTTCCGATGAATACAAATTTTAAGAAGATTCATAAAAAACATATATATTTATTTGCCTATTTATTTAAGATTATGGAAAATTTTAAATTTCATTATCTGAACAGTATTGCCTATAAGGTAGTACTGTGGTATTTTAGCGCGCAAAAAAATTGACATTACCCTATTGAACTTATGTTACGAAATATGATATTATTTTTTACGATCGTGAAAAAAGTTCCTGCACCAAACGAGATGAAGTTTTGTATTGATATCACTTGTCTTAAGTTGATTTTAACAATTTTGAATTTTTCTTACATTATCTTATAGATAGAATTGTCCTTTACATCAATGTTAAAAAATTTTCAATAATTCGGCATAGTATTGCATATTTTAGATAATAGTATAATTTTATATGAAAATTATTAAAGTAATTTTAGTAAAAATATCGACTAAAAGCATTTTAGAAATTGCTTTCGGTTCGGGAAGAGTTTTAATAAATGATATTTCTTTCTCTCACACACAATATCAAAAGTTTCTCCGAAAGTTTCCTTATGTAGACCAGCACTAAGTTTTTTAAGTTTGAGGGAAGTCCAACATTGTCCCGAAGTACATATATAGTAGGAACTGTTTTTAAGCTGATTCATAATTTTAGTAGTAGGAACTGTTTTTAAGCTGATTCATAATTTTGACAAAATATAAGTCTCACACTAAAATAGAGAACGGTATATCGAAAAAAATTATATTTTTTATTTATTTGTTTAATGAAGATCATGTGAAAAACACTGTTTTAGTGAAATTTATGCTAATGTGTTGTAATACGGAAAAATCGTGGGATTGATTTTAAGAACTCCCGTCGTTCTGGATTTCCCGGAATTTTCGGTATATACATTCCAGTTTTAAATCATACAGCACATTTCATTTCGAACTTATTTTTAAATAATTTATTTTCTATACTGTATGTATAGTATATTTCCTTTGCAGTTATAAACTTCTGAGTAGAATAGGAGTTCTTACATGTTCGGTTAATAAAGCGATAAATATAACTTATAACTCGAAGGGCCCGATCTAGCGAAGAAAAATTCTCCAAAATATCAGTTAGCTTAATTTCTTCAAATTGGGTTGTTTGTTGGTTAATCTTCATATGAAAACTAAAACATTTTTTTGTTTCCAGGTCTACTGGATCAAAGGTTCGTTGCTTTGGCCATAAAGTTGTTGGTTGTTTTAGCCAGGGAGGCCCATTCCACCATAGTTGACTTTCGGAAAGTTCTTGAGGAGTGCAGCCGCGCGTTTCTAAATCGGCGGGGTTATCCTCAGTTTTTACATGTTTCCAATCGGTACTTTTGGTAGTGTTTAAAATTTGATTGGTCCGATTAGCAACAAAGGTTTTCAATGTATTGGGTGGCTATTGGAGCCAACTAAGTACAATTGATGAATCTGTGCATAAAAATAATTCGTATTGGAACTCGGAGTTCAAGACTAAGTTCCGTAATAGCTTAGTAAGCAATAAAGCTCCACATAATTCGAGCTTAGGGATTGTAATCTTTTTAAGTGCAGATACTTTAGTCTTAGCTATCAGTAAATGACTATTCAACGTGCTCGTTTCACTTTCGGTTCTGATGTAAATTGCGCCACAGGCATCACAGAATCCATGTATTTGTATGCGATGTTTTGGTGAGGAATGAACCCATCTTGGTATTTTCAAAGTAGAAATATAAGGCAAGTTTTTTACAAACGCGTTCCATTTAATTTGAATAAGTGCAGAGACTTTTTCATCCCAATCACACTTTTCTTCCCAAAGTTCTTGCATCAATAGTTTAGCGATTACAACTACAGGTCCTAGCCTAGCAATCACAGATAAAATTCTTCTTTTCGTGGTAATGGCTGTCGCTTCTATCAGCTCAACAACATAATAAAAAGTATCGGATATAGCATTCCTTATCCCCAAAGTTTTTGTGGTACTGGAATCATACAATCTTAAAAAATCTTCGTTAAGAAGATCCTCCCGGGGCAATTTTTCTAGAATAAACTTGTGATTGGCTGTTACCTTTTTCATAGAAAATCTAGCAGATTCGAATGCCTTTGAGAGCTCATCTTGTTTACATTTTGCTTCTTCAAGCGTATGGCCATCAGATAGAATGTCGTCTACGTATATTTCATTTTTTAAAATATTAGATGCTTTCGGATAAAGATGTTTACAGTCTTTACTTAACTCTAGCAGAGTTCTAAGCGCCAGGAATGGTGCACAATTTATTCCAAATGTTATAGTTTTCAATTGAAAATCATTAATATCATCCTCTGAATTTTTTCTAAATACAATGCGTTGATATGGACGATCATTCTCATGAACCAAAATCTGTCGGTACATTTTCTCAATATCTCCCGTAAATACATATTTATAATTACGCCATCGCAATATAATTTGCATCAGATCCATCTGTAAAGTGGTGCCTTGGTGTAAAACATCATTGAGAGAAAATCCACTTTTTGTTTTTTTTTTTTGATGCATTAAATACAACCCGTACTTTCGTAGTACTGCTTTCTGGCTTAATAACAGCATGGTGCGGTAGAAAAAATAAAAACTGTTTTTCGCCTTTTGTTTCGCTGTTTACAACTTCTTCCATATGATCTAACTCCAAATATTCTTGTAGAACTTCAGTGTACTGCTTCTTTAACTCTGGGGTTTTATCTAAAGTTTTCTCCATTCTATAGTACTGAGGCAGTGCTATGTTTCTTGAATGGCCCAAAAATATGTCGGCCGGAAAATCTATTTTAAAGGATAATCGTACCATATAATGGGCGTCAGGTTGATGAATCGTTGTTTGTTGAAAGAAGTTTTCGCAAAACAAATCATTATCGGATTGGACTACTTGTTTCTCCGCCTCTTCCAACTTCCAGAATTTTTTAATTTGGTCATTAAGTAGTGACTCATTAATAGGTGAGACTGTTGCGGAAAAGGCGTTAATTTCATTTGTTAACTCAGGTCCTGACAAATACCAACCAAAGTGGGATTCTCTGGCTTCAATACTATTGTTATTATAAAATTTTACACCCTCCAAATTTATGAACGGCAAGTAGTTGCTTCCAATAATAAGATCGATGGGTGCTGGCCTATTAAAACACGGATCTGCCAGCTTTAAATTTTCGATGGAATCTAAATTTGGAATACTAATAGCTCGTGAAGGCAAAAAAAATCGATATTCTTGATCTTAATATGACATTACATCTTGTTTTTGAATTTCCTACAACGGTTTCTCCGAGTCCCGAAATTTTGGTACTATGGGCTTCTAGTGGAAGTGACAAATTTTGTTGAATTCGTTTTGAAATAAAAGATTTTTCTGACCCCGGGTCCAATAATGCTCTAACATTAAACTTTTCATCCAAATGTTCTATTTGAATTAAGGCTGTGGGTAATATCGTTGTACCCTCGTGTTGAGAGAAGTGAGCTTGAACTGAATCAGTTGGTGTTACACTAGTAGTACTGGAATTAGTGGAATTTTGTGTGTTAGAGCTAGAAGGTATTCCATCTTCTGATTGGTTGGTGGATTTTGAGCTTGGGGCTAAATCGGGTTTTGATTTGTCCGATTTATCCAAGTGTAACATAGTGTGATGTTTTCGATTACATTTTAAACAAGAAAATTGGCTCTGACATTTAGATTTGAAATGATTGGCTGAAAGACAGTTTGCACAATACTTGTTATTATAGACGTATTTTATTCGATCTTTATTAGATTGAGAATAGAGGGCATGACTTTTTTGAACTTGATTATTTTTTGCCATAGGTTTTCGTAAATTTTGTATAGCCTCTAACATTTCAATTCTACTAGTTAAAAAATCTCATTTGTTGCCAAGTAGGCAGAATCTTGTGGTTCGCTAAAGTAGTTTCCCATGCTCGCACAGTTTCATCAGGAAGTTTAGAGTAACATAAATAAATAAGAAATGGGTGGCAATTAGCTACATCTACGCTAAATGATTTCAAGATTGATATGCAATCATGCACTAAACTTTGCATATGTCTCATTGCTTTTGCATTTTCTTGTGGTATAGTAGGCATTCCGAATAATTGTTTCATTTGTTGATGAACCAAAACACGAACATTCTCATAACGGTTCTTTAATGCTTCCCAAGCTATGGAAAAATTTTCATCAACCAAATCTAAATGTTTTATGGTTTGAAATGCTTCCCCCCTTAATTTACTGCGTAAGTAGAACAATTTTTCTGCTGGAGCCATATCGGTTTTGTTTGCACAGACAGCCTGAGACATGTCTCTAAAGGCTGGCCATTTCGACACCCCTCCATCAAAATTTTGCATGTCACATGGTGGTAACCTAAACCTCGACTCCCTATTGTATGACCTTTCTTGATTACTATTTTCATTTTGTTCTTTTATCATATTTATTATTTGAGATTTTATTTGGTCATACTTAATACTGACCTCTTCGTATCGAATCGAGATATCATCTTTGAAGTCTTCTGTTACACCTTTATCTTCTTCCAACATGTAATTATCATATGACTCTGTTAACTTCGACCACCTTTTATCTAACTCATCCCTTTTTATCTCTAGCAGAGAAACATGTATATTTTCATTTGTAGCCTCTTCCCAACTCGTAATATAGGAAATTAGATGATGAAGATCTAATTTACATTTTCTTCTTAAAGCCATTTTTTTAGTAAACTTATTTGCCAAATAATTTTGCTAAATTTGTCGCAGAACCTACTGTTTATTCCAAAAACAGTCTAAACACTCGTAGTGTATCGCACTGTGTTTTTGATGTTATAAACATTTTAAACCCTCGTAGTGAATATCTTTAGGAAAATATCTGCCAAAGAAATTTCGTAACACTCGTAGTGTAACCACACTGTCTTTTTCACAAAAAAAAAAAAAAAAATGTAACACCCCTAGTGTATTGCACTGTCTATTTCAGTATCACACTGTATAAAAAAATGCTGCTATAGGTATGCGTTAATCGTCATAAAAATATTTGCCCATTAAATACTCGCAGTGGTACTATTCCTTTTTCAAAAAAATCTAACACTCGTAGTGTATCACTGTGTTTTTGTTTTTAATTGTATTAAAAAAAATTCAAGATGACATGTACCACACTGTATTATTATCAAGTGCCACCAAAAATATTAAATATTTCCAAAAAAACACCAATAACGGTTATAATGTACACTCACCTTTCCCCCGTATAGAACTTCGTACTGCTGCTTTGTTTCTTTACTTCACTTTTACTGTAGTATTTTTTGTTTCAAAGATTTGGGTTCTTGTTTTTTGTCTTGCTTAAAATCCCAGCAAAAATTTTCATTACCTGGTAATCTAGAAAGTAATATTGGAATCTCGTGAAAACTAATTACTTTTGGGGTGAATAACTAATTATTTTTGTTCGACGAGGTTCAAATAATATGTACCTACCTTAAACAAATTAATAAATGGTTACTAATTTGATTACAAAAACTTTGCGAAATAACTAGTTACAAATAAACCTACAAATATGTTATGTGATAGCTAGTTATTTTGGGCCGACTTTGTATGTAGAAAACAAAAAATAAAAAATTCCTCGGCCGGGATTTGAACCCAGGCATTCAGTTGTTTTCTATGTTTCTCACTCCAGCCACTTACTCGATGCTCCATTAACATGTTGCTTTTTATAATTTTGAGAACGGCTTTTTACAAAAATATATAAATGAATGTCATTTTGAAAAAAATAAACAGTATCCAGCAGGGCTCGAACCACGGACCCCCTGTTTGTTAAATGAACGACCTAGACAATTGAGCCATAACAAATACAAATTGTTTTGTTCTTTACCAGTAATAACCTATTCAGCTAAATGAAATAATGTGGATGATAATGAACACTCATTACCAAGTAATGTATGAAATAACTACTGGCTATTACCAAAAATTTCAGATTTTTTGCTGGGTTATTTTGTTCTTTTAAATTTCTTTATTTGTTGTTCAATTTATTTCCTTGTTTTAGTTTTTGAATATACAACTTTTTTTTCGACCCACCCTAATGTATACTTTCATATTGAACAGTAAAGTTGAATGCATTTGTGTTTGTCCTGTACATCGGCAAACTTAATACACATGTGTAAGAAAGCACTTCAATTTCAATGAAATTATTTTATTTCCGATTTATTCTTTATCTTTTGTTTGTATTTCTGGTTTCACAAAATTCATTGACCCAAGAGTAGTTAGTGACAAAACTTTTTTTATTTTAATGTTTTATTTTTGTAATATTTATTTGTAATGGAAATATGCATGTTTGTATTAATAAAGGCGTTAATTTTTCATAATTTTCTGAGGAATTCTGAAGTTGTATTTGAACACAATGAATTTTATATGTTTTATATGTTTTATAGGTCAATTATCGAAATTATTTTTAAATTAATTGATAAAAATACGAATTTTCACATGTATTCAAATTAATTTCAAAGTTCTAAACTATCTATCCAATTTTAGTAACACTTTTGTTAAAATATTATAATTATAAAATAAGGATAATGATATTAAAAATATCCTTGAGACAACAGTATCTTACGTTTTATTTATTCCTTCACTTAAAATAGCTTATAATCTACTCAACAAAATATTAAAAATCAGAATTGGACAATGAGGGGATCTCAAGTAAATCAACTCTTAGTAAAATAATCCACATTATTTCCATAATGTCAGGCCGTCGACCCAGCCTTGGCAGATCGTTAATGAAAAAAGAGCCGCTTGGCCATCGACAAAAATTTCTATATTCCTACATATATATCGCAATCTATACTCTTTCCAAATTATCGATTTCCTTTAGGTGGGTCTTATTTTATTCATTAGCGTCTAATTTTACATATTATATGTAAAATTAACTTAACAAAGTTTTCATCAAACCGTATGCCATAAAAGGAATGCTTGCCTATTAACATCAGGGTAATATTTGGAATGGAGCTTAAGCCAATTATGGACGTTACTCTTTGGAAAATTTGGTAGATAGATTTTGGTTCGTAAAACACATATTTCATTCGCTTTTTTTAAATTCAATCATGAGCATTTATGTGGAATTTCATCACTGTAGACGCATTTTTATGCCAGTAATAGCGTTATAGTGATATAGAGGGTAGGGTCAATTATTGACCGATCCTCATAAAATTTGGTATACAGATTTTGGCTCGTATTAAACTTTATCGGAAGGGGACCTTATATGGGGGTAGGGTATGGACCGATCTTCATAACATTTGATATGGAGATTTTGGCTCATATGAAACTTATTTACGTTTAATTTTATTGCTATAATCGTACTTAAAAACAATTGCGACTGTTAATGCTGATAATATAATAATATTTTCCCAGATGTACGAAATTTTATATTTAATTCATATGGGAGATGCCAATGTCTCATTGAAAGTCCGCCCATTTTTCTCTAATTGTTTACAGAAATGTCAAAGTTTTTCAAAAATTTTCTAGATCTAATAGTTTCTCAGATATATGAATTTTTTATTTAATTCATATGTGAGGTTCCAATTTGCTAGTCCGCCAATTTATTACTAAAACGTTCACATTGATGTCAAAGGATTTTTGCTCTAATAGTTTCCCAGACATACGATTTTTTGTACTTATTTCTTATGGGAGGTTCCAAACATGTTCAGATGTTCAGCAACGCCCCCATTGGTACTCCGCCAATTTATTATACAAAATATTTACATGGATGCTAAAGTTCTTCTTGCATAATTTGAAGATTCTAACTCTAATAGTTTCCCAGATAAGCGAATTTTTGTATTGAATTCATATGGGAGGTGCCATGTCCTCTACTGCTAGTACACCCCCTTTTTCCTTAAATAATCATATTGACACTAAAGTCGTTCCAACAAAATTTGAGGACTCTCTCTGTTATATTTTCTAAGATATACTAAGCCATTCCGCCCATTTTATCTAAAAATATTCTTGTGGATGTCTCTCTTACAGTTTCTGACATATGCGACTTTTAATACTTATTTTGAATGTGGGCGTGGCACGTCGCCCACTTGAAATTTTGAAGTAAAACGTAGCCTATACTTTCAAAAAAAAAATTCGGAAAAATCGGCCCAGCCGTTTAGCATTCTACAAAGTCCAAACAAACAAACATACAAACACACATTCATTTATATATAAATATCCTTTTCTATATGTAGCGACTATATGTCACTTCAATTACATTATAAACATGCTGACTAATTCGTTGGGTTAAGTGTGATGCGGAATTGCTAAACATAATATAATAAGTTTTGTGACCACACTGTATGTCGATTTAACAGCAATTTATCTGAGTCAAACAAGACGATATGAACATTTTTAAATTTCTGCTGTTTTTAAAGACGTGTGTGTATTTTAGCTGCTTTGTTGTTGTTTTTCGATTTCTTAACATGCAGTCAATGACATTTGACGGCATTCAAACCGACAACAACAATATTCAGGCAAACTGGACCGTATATGTACATTTATGAAAACAAAGTCAAAGTACGCAAAGAAAAAGGAAAGAGATGGGTGGGTGTTTTATTTTGTCTCCACGAGCTACAAATAAAATTCTCCATGTCATATTAATAAGTAGGTATGGCGTTCAGGAACTTTGTTTTTCTTGTATTTCTCTAATGTGTGTGTTTTAAAGCAAAATATTTGCATTCCCGACAAAGTTATTGTTTTCTTTACACCGACTATGTGCAATAAAATATAGACGCCATCGACAACAATTTCAATATCCTTCACAAAAAAAATGGAGAAATATTGAAATTGTAATCAGGGTCCTCATACAAGTTTAAATTGTTTTAGCTAGGTCCGAGCACCTTACTCTCCATAAGAGTAAAAACTTTCTTAAGATATTGTATGTTGATCAGACATTTTTTGCATTGATAGTGTTCAAAATCTATAAAAAATTAAATTAAATTTTAAATATGTATAATAGAGTCACACTAACAATGGTACTCGTAATGTTGCCCAAAAGAGATTGCAAGTACATTTTTGTACTTATTAGATTCCGATTACGAATAAATTATCTGACACAGTTTAATTTAATCAAATATTCCAAAAAATTGCGCCTTTAAAAAAAACATTTTTAAAATTTAAGACAAAGGGAAATTCCACTGAGCTTAAGTGTATCTAATACATGTTCTTCTGTATTTGTTGCGAAATTTAGCTCTTCAGAAATACATATTAAAAATTATTCTTCTTAACTATAAACACAGAAACAACCACTAGTCTATAAAGTAGGGATATTATTGTGGTTAAATATTTCCAACTAATTCAAACGGTTTACTTCGATCATTTCGTCAGTTATATACACATGTAACTTATGGCGGCTTATACGCACATTTCTAGCAGGAATCTAAAAAGAAAACATTAAAAGAATACAAAAATTCTAAACAAAAATCTGCTTATAATCATCATCAGCGAATATTCGCGTTTACAATAACAAGAACAATAAAATCATCAGGCGTAGTAGCATGAAAAACGTCTATAGCAACAGCAACAGCAAGAGCAACAATAACAATAACAAGCGAGTTGTTTAATTATAAAAGATAACTTTTTTTGAAGGACACACACTGTCTTGAAAATGAGTAATGCACTCTAGGTTATTGACTCTTCTTCCATTCATGTATTGAATAATTCAAATGTTATTGTATTAGTGTTGGCGGTGTTGGTGG